GAAGGGGAGATTTGAGATGGGCCGGCAGCTGGATAGCTGTGATGGGTTGAGGGAAGGTTTTTTCAAGATGGGGGTGATAGTGGCTGTTTTGAGGGGGGAAAGCAGATGACTGTTAATGATATCGATGAGTAGTGGGGCAAGGAGGTGGAACTGGGATTTAAGGAAAGGGATGGGGTCGAGGGAGCAGGTTTGCTTTCCACCAACATGTGTAAATTTCCCCGTGTTTGCAAGGGTCACTTCACAGTATATTCTGTGAAAGCGCTTTGAGACGTCTCACTAACATGATAAAGCGCTATACCTTATGCATGGATAATTATTATTAATGGAATATACACTCTCTCCCTGGAACACTGATTCATCCTGTTCTCTCCGCTTCAAATATTGGTTGCTTACCAATCGGGGGACAAGAAAACAAGGAGGAGACAGGCCGATACCTCTTGAGATGAACATGGCATGTTCTGGTAGGATGGTGGCATACATGGGACATTGATGTCCGAAGCAGCAGCGCAGCACAAAAACGTTTGGGAATCGTTGTAGTTGAGCATTCACCATGTACGCTGCAGTGGTGGTTTAATGCCATAGCAGAAGAGATCGATACTTTTAGCTGCACTTACTTGACTGAGACGCCGTCCGGCATGGAGGGTGTTATATAAATCCGAGTTGTTGTTGACTTGTGCAAGAGTCTTTGAGGACAGTTTGAAAAAACTAGTATCTTTTTGTTTTGGTGTCGGCTGAGAAAGCTGTGGAATCTTTATTTACACTTGGAAGGGAGGGATTGACGCCCATGTTGAGTGTAAAGCCCCCTTTTTTAATCGCAGTGCATTCTTTCTTGTTTTCACTGTGCCAGTTATCTCCACATCAACATACCATGTTTCAACAAACTGTGGCTCCACTTGTGGTCCAACAAATATGTCAGTGGTATGCAACGACACTGCATTAAGTAATCCGGCTGAGTCCAGTGCTTCCGTGGAGTCCTGTAGCTCAGTGGTTAGAGTACTCGCTTTGCAAGGGAGAGACCTGAGTTCATTTCCAGACAGGGCGAAACCTTGGGCAAGTTTCCTTACTCCACACGCCTAATAATAATCCCTCCAAAACAAAAAACAATAATAAATTGGTCATTTTCAATCTACGATTGTTTGTCGGACACTGCTGTGCGCAATTGGCTGCCGCGTTCGCCCATAAATATACAGTCAATTCACTTTACAGTATATTCTGTGAAGCGCTTTGGGACGTCCAGAAGATGTGAAAAGCGCTATATCAAATGCAAGGATTATTATTATTTAAGGTCAAGTCCAGTCGACTCTCACTTAAGTGAAACCATGATCAGACGACTCAAAGGTCTATTGAGGACATAAGAGGGTTAAAAAGTGCTTGAATGGGAAAACTGCAGCATAATTGATGTCTTGCGTGGGAAACAGCATCTCTATTAATAATAATAATCCTTGCATTTGATATAGCGCTTTTCACGTCTTCTAGACGTCCCAAAGCGCTTCACAGAATATACTGTAGAATTAATTTCACTGTATATTTGTGGGCGAACCACGCAGCCAATTGCGCACAGCAAACAGTCATGGATTGAAAATAACCAATTTTATTATTTTTTTTTGGAGGGATTATTATTAGGCTCTGTGTGGAGTAAGGAAACTTGCCCAAGGTTTCGCCCTGCCTGGAATTGAACTCAGGTCTCTCACTTGCAAAGCGAGTGCTCTAACCACTGAGCTACAGGACTCCACATCTGGGGATATAATGCATGTCTCCACCATGGATCTCCACGTATGTCACACCTTTCCACGAGAACATGGCTCCAATCCAAGATCTCCTCACAGCTGAGTTCTCATAGAGTCTTCACCTCCACATATAGCCAACATGTAGCATGTGCCAGCATGTGCCAGAACTGCCCTCTTGATGTTGAAAGCAATGTGAAAGCAGCAGAGGCTTGAATTGCAGCAATATTTCCTATCAGTGCTCCATTTCAAGAAATTATATTTTTGCAATGTCTGCTACTGAAAATGTGCAATGCAAAAGTGGCTCAAGTGCCTGTGTTAATATAATTCATATGGCTTCTACATTACGATGAGCTTATTTTGATTTAATTGCTAAAAGTCTGTGCCAGGATGTAATTCTTTGTCTTTCAAAAGAGACTGGAGCATACTGCAGATGTCTGTTGCTAATGTATTAATGATTAATGATTAATACATTAGCAAAGCTGTTAAATCATGGAAAGTTACATAAGGTAAAAAGACTAGTTCTAAAAGGCTTGTACTTCTAGTTAGTAAAAGTGAATTGCCACACTCTATCCCACGGTCCCTTCGCCTCGCTTCCTCCCTTGCATCCTTCAAGGCTGGTCTCAAGATCCTTCTCTTCGACCGTGCCTTTGGTCTCCCTCCCACCTCTCTGCCTTCCCTCACCTCTACACCACCCCTCCCCCATGCTTGGGCCCCGACATCTGACTGTTCAGCGCTTTGGGACGTCCTCCCGATGTGAAAGGTGCTCTATAAATGTAATTTTGTTGTTGTTGCTGGTATGCTTTAAAACAGGAAGGGTCTGATAAAGCCTTTGACATTGTAACACCTTGAATTGTCAGTGCGTCTGTGGAGATTCCTCTCTCTGTCGGCCCATTAGTTCTGTACATTTTCAGCTCGCACTTTCACATCAAAATACTAATACTATTGTATATATATATTAGATTAGCTGTACCCATTGCAGCTATGCTTGCAACCAAACAATCCAATATGGAATGTAGATTGACAAACAGACAGACATTTCATCTTTATCTATACTCATCTGGGAGGACTCCTTGTGGGAGGATTCAGCACTTTAGAAATATAATTTTGTTGTGGCCTCGGCTTAGCTTAGTCAGTGTTCTTTATTTTGTTCCCATCGCTTGGCTACGAACACGCTGTGTGACGCAGGATGCCACAACGCCATGGGTAGTCGATGCGACCACCAGGTGTAACTGCAGTGTGTGGTCCATACATAGGTGCCCTGTGACGCATGATGCCACAGTGCCACTTTGACTCGGCAGCCACCAGGTGTAAGTGCAGCAAAAAATGCAAAACTGAAAATAAATCATGAACAATATGAGATACCCAAAAACAAATATTACCATGTCACTCCCAGGTGCAAGACCTTTCCGATGAAGTATAAATCATGTCTCTACGTCAAAAGGTTATTCAGATCCTTCTTGAAACGCAGACAGACATTGTCGTTTTATTAGTATAGAAGAAGATAGATGATAAATTACTCCAATAGTACTATAATATTAGCTGATCAAACATCAAGAATGCTATTATTACTATTAGAACAATACCAGCAGTGTTTATATAGCTCCCTTCACATGGGGTAGTGACTCAGAGCTCTTAACCCCGGCCTATTAAAATATGTACAGGTAAACACAATTTTAAATAGAAATAAAAGATTTAAATAGTTTTATCTTGCTTCACGTGTTCCCATTTATTTCCTCTTCCTTATTTTGCTTTTTTTTTTAACTGTTTACCTTTCCTGCCTCTCTTTTGCTATCTGTCTAACTTTAAAACCTGTAACTTTATCACTTTACTTTCTTTTCCCAGAGCGGAAGAACCTATCATTTTATGAGGTTGGAGCAACTTTTCTTTTCAACAAAACGTTTTTCACAGGAGTCTCACAGTCTGAAATCAGCTTTACAGATGAGTTTTATAGCCAGTAAAACGTTTAAAGATTGAAGTTTCTTGGGGAGTGGGGAGGGAAGGTAAAGAGAGACTTACGTCAAAGTTGTAAATGGGTTTGTCTATGATGTATTTTTATGTTTAAAATAGGAAGTGATTGAGTAAACAAGACTGCAGTCCCCAAATCCCGACATTGAATGTTGCTTAACATTGAAAGGATTGAAATTCTTTATACAATGAATAAAGGAGTCCTGCCTTTTTACACTTGGTTTCTTGCTGAAATCACCCTGTTGTGATGGAGATCCAGCCCACTTCCCACAAATTCTGCCCCTGCCCTTTGATCATTAGTATTACTGCTTTGTCCTTTTCAACGGGTCCACCCATCTGCTCCCAAAACCTTGCATTAGCTTGCTCCCTCTCACCTTTGTGGTGGCGGAAATACAGGGGGATTCTGCAGTAGTGCATACTTTCTGATGTGTGTTTTTTTTTAAAAAGTGCTACTGTGCCCAGCTGCTCTCAGCAGGAAAATGACATCATGTAATGTTTTTTTTAAATAAAACCTTTTTGTGCAGATTTTCTTTCCATTTTGCCAACCCCTTGTGCCTTCTTGGTTCATGAGTCATATTTAGGATTGTGTGAGAAAGTTTGGTCCTAAATGACTAAAGATTAATCATGCTACGCTGTATAATATAGTAAAGGTTTGAATGTTGGGTGGAGGTGATTATTCTCTCTGAAGGGGAGTTTGGTGTGGGTGGGGGGCTCTTTGGAGCTGAACTGTGACGTGCTTGACAATGGAATATCGGAAATGAGTCAATCCTCTGTGGTATCCAGTTCCTGAGCCAACTGGGAATACAGTTTTCCAGAGGACTGTTGATGAGACTAGCCAGCCAGACTTATTAGCAGGATGTGAAGTGGCAGAATGGCATTAGAACAAGGCCACTCAGCTCCTGCAAACAAAAGCCCTAATGAGTAGGGTGGTCCTAGTGGGAAGCTTGCTATATAATGCTTTCAATGGCAAGCTATGTAGTTTTACTGGCTAAATCCAGCAGTATCCCAAAAGGGCAATGACATATCTGGCCCTCCAAATCCTATCAATGAGACAGGTTGGCAGTCCTCCTGCCAATCTGTGCCTAATACTCTCTGGAATTGGGTAAGCAGGATGGATTCCTCTCAGAAGAAGTGTGCATTCCATTGCAGACGCAGGGAAATTTCCATGTATAGGTAGCATACGTATGTGAAATTCTCAGTCTGGTTTGGATCCGGCTGACCCAAAAAAAGGTGGAGGTGAGTCGAAGGTGAATCTTGAGGTTTACTCAGGTTTTATTTAAACAATTTGGCTTTCTTTCCCTAACACAGAGATCACCCAGATAGAAGACCCAAGAGCACAATGGCGGCGGGAGCAAGAGCGAATGCTGAAAGAATATTTGGTGGTGGCCCAGGAGGCTCTGAATGCCAAGAAAGAGATCTACCAGGTGAAACAGCTGCGTCTGGAGCTAGCCCAAGAGGAGTATCAGCAACTGCATGACATGTGCGAGGATGACAGGGTATCTTACGTCAGCTGTAAGTACATTTGTCTGATGGAAGTTGATGGTTGGTGGAAAGTTTTACCTGTAGAGGCATTTTTGTATTTTAATGTTAAAGCAAGTCAGATTTTACTCATGTGTGGATTTAGCATAGAGTGAGTGGATGTAATCTGATAACATTTTCACAAGCCCCATCGGTTAACAGTGCTACAATATAACGTTGAGTTTTGGGGGACAAGTCTGTGTGTGTGTGTGTGGGGGGGGGGGGGGGGGCAAACTAGAGGGAGAGAGATCCATGGAAGTGAAGGTGAAGGTTGATCAGACAGATATGAGGCCAGTCCAAGATTGTTTTCATCTGGGAGAAGATTAATTGAGATTAGTCAGGACATTTATTCAGCAAGAGAATTAGAATTTCCATTTGTTGATTCATGTAATGTTTTGCCTCTGGGAAGATTTCTGGCAGCTAAACTCTTCCCCGATATATAATCCAAACCGGAGCGTGGAATCTTGAGCTCTGGCTTGGGATGAGAGATTTTCGATTACACCAAAAATACCTATAGCTGTTCCCGAAGACAATCCGGTTCCAAAGTCAACTGTTATAGACACCCATTGTTATAATGCACTCACATAGACACAATCTATTGCTGATGTAGGGAGAATGCTACCGCAAAGCTGGTCAGCTGTGCTCTTGATCACAAAGCTCTTTTCATTACTTGTCAAATAACAAGAAATGGTGCAGGTGTCAGGAGATCAGCACTCACCCATACAGTGGCTTTGATTTCAAAAAGAGGAGTTTGGCCTCAAAAGAACTTACTTTACAGGGTTGAGGCCAATTCAACTATGTTCTCGCTGGCCCCAGGAGTCAGAAAAACATTTAAATTGGAGCCTGAATTTGCTTATTGCTCAGGTTTGTTCCAATTTTCTTAAATATATGTATTAGAGGATTATATTTTTTTTACCCCCTTTAGACTCCTTTCTTTCCCTTTCACTTTGGTGCCAATGATGATCCCCTAACAAAGCCTGAGCAAGTCATCTGTTCCCTCTGCCCTCTAATAGAAGCAGGGAGGGAATGCCTTGCCATCAGGACCTCCTGTGGCAGCATTTAATCCCTGTTCAGCACCTCTCCTGATTTTTGCCGATATTTACATTTAAAAAAAAACATAAAGGATAGATCGTGGTGTTGGAAAACACTAGGGCCGAGTAGTCGATTAGTCTGCTTTTTCAAAAAGGCTAAGGCTTAAATTAAAGTATTTACTCAATATCGCTACACTTTACATGAAGGAGCTTATAATACTCATGAGTGATAATAATTATCCTTACATTTTATATAGCTATGTTTACATTGAGAAGACATCTCAAAGCACTTCCCAAGATAATGTAAAGTGGAATGACATATTTTGTGGATGAACTGCTGAGAGCACTATGCTTTATACAGTGGTTTTACTTGTGTTGTGATAAAGTGTGTTGCCAAAGTTATTGTTGTGTGGATGTTGCATCATGTATAAGCAATAATATACAATTGAACATCCTTCTGATTTTCTTTTCACAGCTTATTCTAGCTCATCCTCAAACACAAAATATGATCCTGACCAGATCAAAGCAGAAATAGCAGGTAGAAGAGAAGCGGTAAGTGATCTTTACAACAATGTTAATTGGATTATATTCTATTGTTTGTGGTTGAAAATTGGAGACTCCAATTTCCAAATAGACTTAGCCTGTAAGACCATTTTGCTTTAAAATGTAAGAATGTGTAGGAACGTGGACCCAGGTATTCCGGGTTACACCCTCTTGTAGCAGAGACCAATTCCCTTGTAGTTTTATTTGGCTAATCTTCTGGCCTTTCTTCCCTTCTCCTCTCCTGAAGGCACTGCCTATTACTGGGATAGAGTTCCTAGCCCCATTTGTAAATTTTACAATAAGTAATAATTATATTTGATACAGTGAAATGTTTCAAAGTGCTTACACAGTGGAGTGAATGTTGCAATTTAGAGGAGTATAAGTATCATATGGAGTGTACGTAAAGGCATGGACAAGTTTACTTGAATGGCCTGTTTCAACAATGTAAAGTTCTGTGTAATTTAGGTCAATTGATTTGCTTATGGTGCCACACAATCCAAATATCGAAATCACCAATGTTTTTTTTTGTGTGCTTGTGGAGTGGTGGGGGTAATAAGGTGACTATTTTTGTTAAAATTATTAAGATGTTAAACTCTCATCTTTAAATTATGTTACGTGTGTATTTTAGAAATATTTTTAAATAGTGTGTGGTTTGAAACTTGAAACGTGTCGGGCATTGTGCACTACTTAAAAAAAAGTTATGATGTGTGACCCTTTATTATTCCTATTAATTATAGTCTTAGGAAGATTTGGCAATAGAATATTCACTGTAAATACCTGCTTTGTTCTTAGCTCTCCCGATTAAAAAGAGAACTGGCACAGATGAAACAGGAGTTGCAATACAAGGAGAAAGGCGTGGAGACATTGCAGGAGTAAGTGTAACATTCACCTTTCCTAGTTAGTTAAATCCTGTAGATTTAACTACTTGTTTTATCATTTCCAAAGTTAATAGTTTTAAAGTTTGTGTTTGCCTGAGAGTAGTCTTGACAGACTCCTACCAGTGAGTCATAAGTTACCAAGAGATTGGACAAAAAGTATTAGATGTTTTCATCAGAATGCATATCTTACTGCTTCAGACATGTATGTGATAGAATGGTAATATTTGCAGTGGATATAAACTGTACATCTTCAATGACAGTTTCTTTTATTGTTTTTGTAACATGAACTGTGTGCACCTAATAAGATTTAGCGCTTCGATGAGGTACTTGGGATTGCACAGTCAGACCATTTCAAAACAAACTGCTGTGGAATGCATTAGTGATTATATTGCATAGAGCTGTAGGAGTGATGGGTGACCTGGGTTCTGGAAAACACATTTGTAATGTATAAACCCTAAGGATGTTGCCAGGAAACTGCAGTCCTTATCGTTTCAGTATAACTTAATAAAAATTAAATTTCCCCATTGCGCTCCTAAGTGTAGAAGGGCAGAGGGAGAGGTTTGGTTTTATGGTGCTGTCTATCACCAGTCTTTCTCTGAATGTTTAGTTATTTCACTTACATAATTCTAACCTTCTCCTCAAGGACCTCCTGGGAAGTAAAGGTATGGAGCAAGGACAAGGAAATGTGGTGGAAAGATCTTCCATGATCTAATAAAATGGAGTCTGTAGCTCAGTGGTTAGAGCACTCGCTTTGCAAGTGAGACACCTGGGTTTGATTCCCGGCAGGGTGAAACCTGGGCAGGTTTCCTTACTCCACACTCCTGATAATAATTCCTCAAAAAAACAGTAATAAATTGGTCATTTCAATCCACGACTGTTTGTGGGACACTGCTGTGCACAATTGGCTGTCGCATTTTGCCCACAAATATACAGTCGATTCACTTTACAGTCTATTCTAGAAGACATGATAAGGTGCTATATCAAATTCAAGGATTATTATTATTATAAAATGCTGGAACAGGCTCGACGGGCTGAATGTCCTCTTCTTGTTCCTAAATGCTTTGAATACATTTTATTGTTAGATGAAGAAGATCTAGGGTTCAGATCACAGATTATGCTGAGTTGAATAGCCTGCCAGCAGTCTAGTTTGTGCACATGAAGAATGGCAACTTGGGTAAGCTGCCTGAGGGTAGTCAGATCCTATGGAATTGTACTGCAGTTCAGGAGAAGAGAGGGGAAGAAAAATTAAAGGAACAGAGATACCTTAACTCCCAGAACATTTCACCATGGCTCCTCTGACTGGTCTGGAACTGTCAAGCGCCCTGGGATGCTACCCTACGTGAGGGGAGCTATATAAATGCAAGTTGTTGTTGTTGGTTGTTTGTGTTGCACCCATTTGGAATTGCATCCAGGTTATTGAGACTCCTTCAATATATAAATTTAGGGGTGGTGCTTTCAGTTCAAAGGAAAGCATGAGTTTAGAAATCTATATTTTTCAGTTGCAAGGATCTGTTCGGCCACTGCGGTCTTCTATGCAAGAAGGTTGCTGTGTGCATCTTATAAAGGCTTCATTTAGTTTAGAGTTTGGTTTAGAGTGATGTGGATTGTGATTTTGAGCTTCTTCATGTTGTGAAAGTAAAGTACTGGGAAATAACATCCTAACACAAAAACTAGCATAAAATATAAGTTGGAAAATATTACAATGAAAATTGTATCTATATTGTTTGGTTTTCAACCAAACTATCTCCTAGCCCTCCTAGCCCTCTCCTCTTTAATATCTACGTGCTCCCCCTTGGTGACATCATCCGCAGACATGGGGTCAACTTCCACAAGTATGCGGATGACACCCAACTCTATCTTTCTGCCTCCACCCTTAACTCTAGGACCACTGCGGTCCTGACAGACTCCCTGTCGGACATCAAGTCCTGGATGAGGGCAAATTTCCTACAATTGAATGTGGACAAGACTGAGGCCCTCCTGATTGGCTTGCGCCAGCGCCTCAGCACCTCAGGCTCTGTCAGCATCAATCTCCATGGTTGCACACAACTCACCAAGCCAGTCTTATGTGTCTTATTCGACCCTCAACTGTCTTTTCTCCCCCACATTCAAGCCATGACCCGCTCTGCCTTCCCTCACCTCCGTAACATCGCCCGACTCCGCCACTACCTCACCCCTCAGGCTGCTGAAACGCTTGTTCATGCCTTCATCACCTCCAGGCTCAACTATGCAAACGTCCTGCTTGTCGGCCTTCCCAACTCCTCCCTCCACAGGCTGCAGATAATCCAGAACTCTGCAGCCCGTACCGAACTCCATGACCCCATCTCCCCCGTTCTCGCCCGACTCCACTGGCTCCCTATCCTTCAGAGGATCCAGTTCAAGATCCTGGTCCATCCATGGCCTCGCCCCACCCTACCTCTGTGACCTCCTAACCCCCTACCAACCTGCCCGTTCCCTCCGCTCAGCCGGCTCTGACCTGCTCCATGTTCCCCGATCCAACTGCCCCGCCATTGGCGGGAGAGCCTTCAGCCACTCTGTCCCCAACCTCTGGAATTCCATCCCCCAGTCACTCCGCTTTGCCCCCTCATTAGCCTCTTTTAACTCCCACCTCAAGACCCTCCTCTTCGACTATGCCATCGGCCACCCCTCTTCCCCTCCCCTCCCTTACCCCCCAAACCCAGCTCGGGTCTGAAATGCTGTACTCTGTCCAGCGCCTTGGGACATCCTCCCGACGTGAAAGGCGCTATACAAATGTAATCTTGTTGTTGTCATTTGTTTTGAATGATTTCTACATTTTTCATCTACCTGTCATGGAGAGAATAAAAGGGAAGAAATTTAAAATTGCCAGGTTATAAGTGTTGTACTCTAAGTAGGGATGAAGGGTTTGAGCATAAGGCAAATGCACCATTGTTAACTTCTCGTGTTTTGTTACTAGTTTCTAGGGAGAGAAGGTCTTGATGTTTGTGTGATGGTCTTGTGTTATACCTCCAGGAAAGGGATTGTGTGAGGAACACTTTATGAATTTGTGTGAAAGAAACAGTAATAATAATAATAATCTTTGCATTTGCAATCATTGTACTTTTCACGTCTTCTAGACGTCTCAAAGCGCTTCACAGAATAGACTGTAAAGTGAATTGACTGTATATTTGTGAGCGAAATGCGGCAGCCAATTACAGCAGTCTCCCACAAACAGTCGTGGATTGAAATGACCAATTTATTATTGTTTTTTTGAGGGATTATTATCAGGCGTGTGGAGTAAGGAAACTTGCCCAAGGTTTCACCCTGCCGGGAATCAAACCCAGGTCTCTCGCTTGTGAGGTGAGAGCTCTAACCACTGAGCTACAGGACTCCACAGAAACAGTAGTAGTTGTTATTGCATTCTTCAGAAAATAACTGTATAAACACTGATTGACAAGAGTATTGGAGAATAGATACAGAGCAGACTGAGATGAGAAATGTTTTTTTTCACAACACATTGCTTTATGTGTTGCTGAGGTGGAAGAGTAGTGACTGTTTTCTGTGGAAGGAAGAAGACCTTGGTTTAATAATGGAAACATTATATAGTTGATTAGCTTGCTTACATTCTTTTGGGGTGTGTATACCTTTGTTAACCCTTGCCTCAGGAGATGATGGTGGGAGGGTGAAATCCGTGTTAGAGTTAGTATTGCATGATTTGTGGGAGGAGAAAGCTTAATTGGGCCAAATACCTTTCTGCATTCAATGTTTTCTTATTGTTTTCTCCTCATTTTGTAAGTATTGTCATTGTAAGTGCAAAATAAGTACAGATTTGCAAAATATAACCCTGCTTCTCCCATGTTTCATCTGCCTATAATTTAAGCTTGCCTGCTTATTGTAATATTTAATTGCTAGTGAAACAGTTGTTTTGCTGTCGCTAAGCTTAATAAGATGAGCAATGCTGAGCTGCAAGCTCTCCATATGGAGACGTGTTCAGCCCTGGAAATCCTGACATACTTTTAGAACAGAATGCTATTGTTAGCTGTTAGCAGAGCAAGCACAGATTAAATATATTGCATGGGGCACCGGGCAGCACAAACAAAAACTAGGGTGATATTCAGATAACAGAAAAACATACAGAAGTGCTTTGGAACAAAGAATGAATTGTTTGTGGGTCCCGGGCAGGGCTCATTGAGACCTGGCTGCTCTAACAGTACCTGCTGTTGATGGAAAGCTTGCAGGAAGCAGGCTGTGGTTAGGTGAGGGAGAGTTGCCAGCAGCAATGATGTAAAAGTCAGCAGCCGTAACAGAACTTTCCATTCTTTCAGGATGTGCTGCATATCTTTTAGGGAGGATCATTCAGGGGCGAATGCTAAGCTTCCACAAGATGTGAAGTAAAATAACATTTTCCCATTCCCCGTCCAGTTTGTTCAACAGACTGAGGCTTCATTGGTGTAGAGTAAAAACCATATGCACTGCACGTGAGCCCACTGTTGAAATATTTAGCTGATGCAGAAGTCAGGAGTTTTATTTGAACCTATCGCCTCCATAACATGAGAGAAAAATATTTTAATTTTTATAGGGCCATTTGCACATTGAAACTTATAAGATGCCCTTTCATGTCATAGCACTTTGAAAGCAAGTGTGTCAGTTGGTAGTACCCTTGCACCTCTGAGTCATATGAATGTGGAAATCACGTCGGGACTTGGAACCCGTGTAGTTTAGGTTGATATTTCATTGCAGTGCTGGGGTGTGCTGCATTGTTGGAGGTTCCATCCCTCTGATAAGATGTTAAACCAAGGTCCTTTCTGCCTATCCACTTGGACTTTAAAGATCCCATGGCACTATTCGAAAAGAGAACAGAGTTTTTCTGGGTGTCCTGGACAGCAATCTACTGAATAAAACACAAAATATTGCAGATGCTGGAAATCTGAAAACAAAAACAGAATTCGCTGGGAACACTCAGCATCTACGGAGAAAGAAAAGTGAGTCAACGTTTTGGGTCCACGATTCTTCGTCGGAACTGGACCCGTTCTGATGAA